TCTCTCTCTCTCTCTCTGTCTGTGTGTATGTGTGTGTGTGTGTGTTACATTAAAAGCAACAAAAATATTTGAAAGAGCTGTATATATGGTGCACAGTCAGAGACAGACACAAGGCAGACAAAAGTAAAAATAGGTCACAGTTCAGAAGAATACTTAAAAGACCTTTTAGACGATTTCTATTCGACAATTTTTCCAAGAATACCTGTCGCCTCGAGCGATATAGAAATAATCCGTAAGAGATTCGAATTTCTTCTTCAGCAAATATAAATGAGATTTGGTGTGTATTGAAAACATTTATTACATTATTTTATATAATGCAATATTGATCTATTCGTTAACGAGTAACGCATTACTTATTTTTTTCTAATATGCTCTTATAAATTTATTATTAATGAACTACTCAGAATTCATGACCTGTTTATTAATAATGAAAAATAAAGAATAAAGTTATCTTCCAAAAGAAGACATAATTTCTTTTAAAAATTTTATTTTTTCTTTTTTATAAAAGTGAAGTGTTATGTAGCATTTTATCACACGTTGACAAATGTATATAGTAGCGTGAAATAGAATTAAAGCGTAAGATTCTATTCTCGATAGAATAGAATTATGCAACGACATCATCATGGAATTATCCATAATTGGCAAAATTTCTCACGTCAGAAGAAGGAAAAGGAATGAAAGAGAAAACAAGAAAATAATAAGAAAAACGGATATGCGAGAAAAAGACGGAGGAACGGAGAAAGAAAGTGATTTGGAGAACGCACGATGAAGGAAGAAGATGGAAGAAGGAACGAAGAAGATGAACGTGGGCCGATGGATCGAATGTAGAGGGATAGGAAAGGGCTGGAAGAGCGAAAAGAGACGGCAAGAGGGCGGACGGACAGGTAGTGGAGGCGAGGCGGGTAGGGGGACCAGAAAAAATCCGGGGATTTACGCGGAAAGGGCAAAATATTCCCCGCCCAGGCTTCATTCAGCCTCCGATTACGGGGTGGCTTTGGGTGAAAAGCACGCGCTCCCATTGGCCGAGGGGCTAATATGGCGGTGTTAGGGGTTGCAAGGTGGGGCTGGTGTACGCGATATTAAGGGCTGCTTTCATGTCCGACGAGTCAGTGCGTGGTGCGCCGTCGATTGACGCATTTTCCGTCGAGAAGGTGGAGAACGACACTCGGCATCCTCCTGTCTCTCCTCATTCCCTATCTTTCTTTCGTACGCACGTTTCCCTTCGCGCACCCTCTTCCGCCCGGATTGCATTCGACGGTGGCACACGCGACTCGGCGGCAGATTCAATTTGCGCGCGTGTCACCCGGGACGGCAGAATCTACGATTTGCCAGTGATTTACGTGGGTCAAGGACTGCCATTTCGTAGTGCGATTTATTTGCGCGAATCGCCGGAGCGTACGTTAGTGATTTCCAAGGGTGGGCCACGCTTCAGATATGGCCCAGACTTATAATCAGAAGAAAAATGTGTACAGCATCGATCAAATACTGGGTCACGGCAAGGACGAAGGTATAGTAAAAAGTGTTTCTTTTTCTCTTTCTCCAAAAGACATGTGCAAATTATTTGAATAAACTTGGAGCATTTAAGAATTCTCTCTGTGTTTTAAACTTTAACTAAAACAATTTTTTAAATTAGAAAACTACTTTGTATAATAATAAAACATTAGGCAAAAAAATATATATATATTTTTTAATTTAATGTAATCAAAATTATATATATATATATATATATATATATTATTTTGATTGCATTAAATTAAAATGTTGAAATTCTAATTAAAAGTATATTTAATATACTATTACTGCTTGTGTTGCATTTAATTATAACGAAATTGTTCAAGGAACAAGACAAACAATTAAGTTAGGGCAAGATTAAACGTAAATCTACAATGTAATGACATAATCCTAATTTTTTCTTGAACAAAGTTTAATACGCAATAATTGTTTTTAAGAATCATTGATAATTATTACTTTTCATAGATATTCATTTGTTATCGATAAATTACTTTATTCTTTATTGCACGATAAACTATCATATTTGCATTGTTTATTACATAGAAAAGTAAAATCTCAAAATCGAGAAACATGTTATTTAATCTGTTGTATGAAATTTTTAATTATTTTGTTTAACTTTTTTATTCTTCTACGGTTTTCATTGTATTGCGTTATACACCGCATTCAATTACATTTATACGTATTTTTCTTTTCGGTTATTTATTTAGACTGACCGATTGTACATACAATATTCTGATTGAAATTTAAACACGTTGTTTAGTATAATGAAACAATCACATCTTCACGAGATTGTGCACGATCGTAATGACCGTAAGATCGATAAACTTCACTCACTCTCGGAATACTTGACTCGTTAGCAAGGAAGTCCGTTACAGATTTTATTACCTCGATACCGGCGGGCACGCTCCTTTTTTTTCCACCGTAACAAAGTAGGTTATCTAGAGGTGGACAAACACTGATCGAATAAATAACGAACGAACACAGAGAATACAAACTTTCATTGTTAAAGTTCGAAAGATGTTTGCACCATATGAGATGCAAACAGAATATTAACTTTTGATTTGCTTATGAGATGGGGTTTATTAAAGGGAGTGTAAATAAAATTCTCACGTTCTTTTCTTGTTTATTTATTCTATTTATAGTCTTTTATTCTACTTATTTCTGTCTTAAGGTTTACATCGCCGATAAAATGTGATGTTATTTGATAATGCATCATGCGATAATTATCCGAATGACAATCAGCCATTCTCGAAGTAATTGAAGATGACCTCATTTTAATATCTGTAAATAGTCCTAAAAAGAATCTATATAGGTTTAATAAAAATTTATTTATTCTTTCTTCTAAAGTATACAAGAATTATACATGAATTAGGAAAAATTCATCATAAAACATTAGACAAAATATAATTTATAAATCATAGTTTATAAATATAAATGTAGGTAAATGATTATAACTTATAAATTAGACTAAATATACACAGAGATATATTTATTCTAATTTATAAATTATAAATGTATTTTTATGTTTATAATTTATAAATTAGAATGATGTCTGTTTATGTTTATTGTAATTCATAAGTTATAATTTTTAATTTTTGATTATATCCGATTAGTTCTCTCAAGAAAAAATACAAATTTACAGGAAATTTTAACATTTTTATCGTTTTTCTAGAATTTTATTGTTTAAAAAAACGCACAAATGTAGAAATAATATAATAAATCCAAGAAAAAAACTTAAAGAAAATTTACCTTACTTTCAAAAGAATTAACAAATTCAACTTCAACTGGGGATTGAAAGAATCGCAAACTTCAGATTGATAAAGGGGAGATTCGAATCTCATAGAATACGCCGCTAACTTTAGGATTGTGCGATTAAAGGCAACGTAACGTAATTAGGTCGTCGCGGGTTACAGAATCTGTGGCGACGATCGGTGTAACGTGAATTTACTACATGCTGTTGCGACACGCGAGTGCATGCGCGTGATTAGATTGCGGAGAGGCGCACGAACGGTGGATTGTTTCAATGCGTTCACTTTTGCAGAATCGTCATGGCGTGATAAATCGTGTTATCAAGTTTAAAGAACTATATTGTTACGTGTACTGGCTGAGCGCTACAACCGTGGCTTATGGGCAAACAAAACAATACGTAGGGCGATCGCCACCCCATGTTTTTATTAAATTTACGAGCACGCTTTTGCCTTTCATCGTTCACACAAGTCTTTCTTTTTATATTGTCTTAATACGAGAACATTGAGAGATCAGTAACTCACGTTATAAATTATTGTAAGTGAGACTATATATTTGTGGCTACTAAGCTACATTAAAATTAAAAAAATAGTAATTATCTTAATAACTTAATTACATCTATAATTAACTTAAACATTTAATTTCAAATTGATCTTTTTAATTAAATAAAATTTTGATAATTAGAAAGGTTATTGAGATTAAACAGTTAGAATAAATGTTGTTCCTTTTCGAATTTATTTTTGATAAAAAAAAGTGATCTTTAAATAAATGACAATATGCATAATAAAGAATAACTTTTTTATTAGATTTGTATATATAAAATTGTATAAATTAACTGGGCATATATCAGCGAGCTTGTCCTGATTTTCAAATCGTAATAATTGAATGGTAACCTCGCTTTCAATGTCGCAATTTAAAATGCTCGATGATGCTTTTATCTTGGATTTTCCATTCTTTATAAAGGATATATTTTACTGAAGGATTTACTTAGTTTTTTATTTAAATGCGATCAATGATAACTGCTGTAACGCGAATTTACGGCACGACGTTAGACACGCAAACACATATCGTATATACATACATACATATAGTGGATGTGTACTGTCTCTTTGTGCGGTGTACAAATACAAAATTGCTTCACGTGACGCGCAAGCACGAAATAATCGTATGAACAATATTCTGGATATCATAATAAATGTATAAATTACTAGAAATGCAATTTGTGTACGTTTGCAATGTTTGTACATTTTCAGACAAATCATTTTATATGCATCTATTATAATTAATGGCAATTCTAAAAATAAACTATTAATTATCGTTTATATATTTATATTTGCCATAATAATTGTAGATATTTTGTGGCCGTAGATATTTTATTGTTTTATCACAATATATATATTCATGAAATAGAAAAAGAAACAGAAAGCAAAAGAGAGCAAAAAGATATACGATCTGGAATTTTATATAAAATAAAATGCACAGCAGTTCTGTATAATAATTTGAAAACGTAAGTAAATAGACACTTTATTGCTGAAATTATTAAATCAGATTATAAAATCACGAATCGAAATTTTGTTTGAGCCAATAGGGAATTAAATGTTAATAATGGAATGTACTTTATGATATCTATACTTTTTATTTAAAAAACGAATATGCATATCATAATGATTTAAATAATGTTATGTCTATTTACTTGCATTACTCCAGTGTATTCAAGACAAATATCTTCTCCTCTAAACTTATGCGTTTTTAAACGGGAATCCTAAGGGGCTTGTATTTTATAAATTTTCATAAACGCTCGTTTCACAATATTTTTTTTTGAAAATATGGTTTCGTCGCGCTTTATCCCCGTGGAACACTCGTGGCCGGCGTATTAACGTAAGTCCTCTAAAGGATTTTATTAGATTTCAGCGTAAAGTCCTCGGCCACTTATAATCCGCTCCTGTCTCGCAAAAGTATATTTCGTCGACTGAACGGATCGCAAATCCCTTTTAACGCTTAGGCGCATAATCCGCATAGACGCATAGGCACGTATAGACACCTTCTATTGAGAAAATGATAATCCGAACCTCGATCTGGTCATATAAATTATTCCTCATTATTCTCTAATTATTATAAAAACAAACTAAGTTTACCTGACTTATCTATGCATGCAATCTAAAACTTATGTTTCTTTTTCTTCTAATTTTTGTAGTTCGGTAAGAAATGAAGATTGAACAAAATGTCGCACTGAGAGAAAAAAATAGTTGCAATTACCAAAATTTAACTATAATGTATAGTCATTTTCTGTTCTAATTATATATTTGTGTAAAAACTATAAATATAATTATTTATATTTTATTATATATTTTATTATATATTTTATTATATATTTTATTATAATTTATTATTAATTACTCAGTAGTATTAATTATAAAAACAGAACTCCTAGCTAATTATTTTTAGCATGCAATTATAATCATACAAATACCAAACACTTTTCCTTCAGTACAGAGTTATAAAATTTTAACCATGTTAATTCCTCGAGGGAATCCTAGTGTGACAATGAATTTTGTGTTTTTCGATGTTCTTATATCATGTATATATATATATATATATATAT